AGTTATCGTATCGAGCATGCAGTAAACATCAATATTTTACAAAATTTTACAATAAAAAATAAGATTTTCATCCGAACCGAGGGCATAACATGTGCCGTAGACATTCATCTTCAAGCTATAAAGTTTGTATCTACGCCAATAATATTCGTATTAATATATGTTAATAATATTTTTACTATTTTTAAAGATTGTCCAAGCATATGATGTCTACAATCGAAACAATGGTTTTTTTTTTCACGGGATGTGTAATAGCTTGTTTTAGCTTGAATCTGTTTCAAGTAAGTTTCTGGTTTTGTATAACAATTTGTAAGAGTTGCATCAAAATTACGTGTAATAATTTTATAAATACATATCTAAAGAATTGACAAATCAATGCTATACAAATCTTAAATAAAAGCCAATAAATGATAACAGTGTATATGTTGATAAATACCATGAGAAGAAAAATAATGTGAAAAAGTCGAATACATACTCTATCATAAAACATAATAATGTTGTAAATACATATCTAACATTATATGTATATCATTTATACAAATAACAGTATATCATTTATAAAAATTAGCAGATTTTTCATTACTAAATTTAATAACGATTATTGTAAAAATTTACGTAATCTAGAAACAACACTCGTTTATGTTAAACATATCGGCATTTTCGTATTTAGCCAACAGTTTATAATAATTATCATTTGTACATAAATTACAGTTTTAGGACGTAAGGATGAGCAAAATTTGTGCATTATTCATTGAAAATTATTTATTAATAGAAGGTATATATGTAGGAGATTGATAATATCCGTGAAATTTGTTTTTTAGCTTTTCCAGACAGTATCATCCGAAAATAATATCATCCCATTTGTATTGCCATTTATATATGCGACTGTAAGCATCACATATATGTTTCTAGCCAACTATATTGGGCAGCTTATAATTGACCACAATAATGACATATTCGTTACTGCGTAAGAGAAATATTCTTATACGAGAATATGCGCAAACTTTTTTTTCAGCAGTCACAACAAGACAGCGGTTAGATAGATATAGGAATTAATCTGTAGTATCTTTAAATCAGTGTGCTGAAATTAAATAATAAAAAATTCCTGTCTTCGATTAGCAATTTGCTGTCTATCTATGTATATTCATTTCAGGTACAACGTCCAATGGTATAGAACTCCTTTACATATACAAAGAATGATAATATTCTTATTACAAAGAAGAGCCAAGGAATTTTCTTTAAATATCGGTGGATTATATGATGCATCCATGGAGTGTTTTGCTACGGTAATATCTTATAGAATATTTCAGAATAGTACTCGCTTATATATAAAGAATAAAAGAAGATGTTTATATTTAATATGTTATTATTTGCAGCTAGTAAAACTCTCCGTATCTTATTTCACTGTTATATATTCTACACGATGACAAAACACATTAATTTATCATAATAATAAAAATATAGTTAAAAAATAGAAGGTAATTATGGTTAGAAAATAAATAGATATATTTTTTAAACATACAGCGTAGATAGATATTTTCCTGCTAAAAAAGGTAATTAAAAATTTAATCAAATTAAAATAGTAATGGAAATTTTTGCAATGTATTGAAATCAGTTATACTAATTATAGGTTAAACATAAACAGAACATATTTAAATATTTTAATTAATCTAATGTAAAATTCTTCCCACGCGTAAGTTGTTACTAATACATTAAATAATATTCTTAATTAATGTTATTTCATATTAACATTTACGCACATTTAAGATGAGAGATTTTATTAATAAATTGCAAATATACTAAATATACTAAAATATTAAAAAATAAAAAGGAAAAATCATTTTGGAACAGTAATGATAATGATGGTACAGTAATACTAATATAGATAATAAGATTGCTGACATTCAGCTAACTTAGGTAGCTTTTTAACTACTGCTCATGTCAGTAATTAAAAGTATTTATCTCTAAAAATATTAATCAACAATCGTTTAAAAAATTAATAGTTTCATGTTATGTATTGATCAAATTATTTTTAAGTTATATAAATAAGCTTTACCAAGTAGATTCACTATTGGAAAAATAGAACTTATAAGATGTATATCCTTCTCAGATCGGAAGAGCACA